AAGGATACACAGCTAAATATGATTTTCACTAGGGAAGTCATTTTAATTTTCTCTATTATCTAATTCAAAACATAAATGAAGCATATGTTACTTTTTTAATCTGTAAAAGTTGCAATGTCATTTCTTTTTTTCAATGGAGAATTCTAGCCCCAGGGGCCAGGGGAACAGACACTGGAAGAGGCAGCAGGGAGAGGAGAGACTGCCTGGACAGCAATTTAGTCCCTTTGGGCTGCTATAACAAAATGCCCTAGACTGGGTGACTTATAAGCAATATACACTTGTCTTACTATTCTGGAAGTCAGGAGGTCCAAGATCAAGGTGATGGACATTTGGCGTCTGGTGGAGGTCTACTTTCTGGAGCATAGGCGGTTCATAGAAGGGACAAGCTTGCTCTGTGGTGCCTGTTTTATAAGGTCACTAATCTCATTCATCTACCTTGGCATATAATCACCCCCCAAATGTACCTACCTCCTAATGCCACCACACCACTGGTTAGGTTTCAGCATAGACTTTGGGGGACATAGATATTCAGACCATAGCAGGCATAGGGCATAGGCCAGAGGCTGAGCCAGGGAGCCAGAGAAGGAAGGTGCTGGGACTTCCTTCTTCTCAGAGTCCCCTCTCCAGGGCCTAGAAGTGTTCCAGCTGAAGCTGGACACTGGAAGGGGGGTGCCTTACCACAGTGGACACTGAGCCTGATGCCATCTGGGACCCCAGGAGGTGGGGATGATTAACCAGTTTATCAACAGGCAGGAAAGGCAGGGCAGAGACAGCAGGTGAGACCAGCTGGAACAGGGTTAGAGGCAGCAGAGGCCCCGTCGGCCACAGGCTGCTCCTCTTCCTCACCCTCTCTCCGGCTGCTCTTTGCTCAGGCTTCACTTCGCTTTGCAATCTGCACTCCATCTGGCTTCTTCTCCCTCTTGCTCATGGTGGAATCTGAGGTCCTCACAATGGCCCTCTGGCCCTGCATGAGCTGCACCTCATTTCCTGTTACTCCTCCGACCTCACCTCCCATCCTCCCCTTGCACCTCCATGCTGCCCCCAGGCATGCGCTGTTCCTGCCAGGCACAGCCTGCCCTGAGCCATCCTTCTGCCTGGAATGCAGCAACCCAGGTACCCTCCTGGCTCATCCTTCCATCTCCTTTGGATCTAGACCCCACTGTCACCTGCTTGATGGGGACTTCCTGGTCATCTTATGGAAAACTGCTGCCCTAACCCTGCCTGTTTCATGTTCATAACACTCTGACCATAACACTATGACTTCTGCATCCACCTGCTTATATTTTTGTCTTCCCCATTAGGGTATTTACTCAGCTTTGAGCTTTAGTTCTCGGCTGCATCATCGCTGCCTAGAACAGTCAGGCACCTGGAGCAGCATGTCAGGGCCACAGTGAGAATGAGTGCGGTGGCCACGCTCACGGTTTGGTGTTCTCCGTGACACAAGTGCCCCCCACCTCGGAGACAGGCAGATGGGTCTGGGTGCCAGCTGGCGGGAGGCTGCGCAGGGAGGGAGTGGCTCATTCATTAGTCACGCAGGTCAGCCTTGCTCTCCCCAGTCAGCCCTCTAGCACCTTGCAATCGCATCTGATCAAAGCGATAGAAAGCAATTGGGTTAAGTGGCAAATTTAATCACGCTGCAGCCATTCAGAAACCACTTAACGCTTCTGCCTGCAACTGGCAGCTGGGTTCTCTACCTACCTGGAAAGTATGCTTCTTCCAAACCCACAGCTTGGTTTGTGGGATGATACACATTACAGAATGTCTCTCTGGCTCCACCAGAGCTGAAGGAGAGGGAACAGGATGAGCCCTCTGCTCCTGCTGGATTCCTCCCCGCAGCAGACAGAGGGATACCTCACCCCACCAAGGATGAAACCACTGCTAGGAAAGTTGAACTTCCTTGCTGGAGTTCAAGTTTTATTCCTAGGTCTTTGCTTCCTACTGCTTGTATTATTTTTAAATTGCTATATCTCTGCATAATACTTTTGTAACTAAATTCTTTCCACTATGCTACCCAGCCTTCTGGGTGTCTTCCATCCCGCCTCCTAATCTCCCTTAACGACTTGCTTCCCTCTGCACTGCAGGGCCTCCGAGTTCAAGCCCGCATTGCTTTGTGCCAGAATCCTTGCTGCTCCCACCCTGCCCCTATGATCTTTCTGCCCCCAAGCTTGATGTCCTCGACTTTCTGCTGCATTACTACCCAAGGGATCTTTTTAAAGAGCTGATCCAGCTAAATCTCTTCCTTGCTGAAAACCCCAGTGATTCTCATCTCCACGGCTACTTGGCAACCTTGCGGGGGAGGGTAAAGAAACCAGGGCGGCTGCTGGACTGTCTTTCCAGCAGATTTATCTTGATACTCAGCTCCCGGGTTCAGAGCAGAGAGCACCACCATTGCCAGCACTGTGTCTTGCCTCCCCTTTGTTCAGAATCCTTCCATGGCTCCCTACCACCTGCAGGATAAAAACCAAGCACACCACAGTGACATTCAGAGCCCTTCACTGCTCAACCTTGACCTGTCCTCTCACCCATACAACTGGCCCTCTCTCCATTTCTCACATTCAACGCAGTTTCAAGCCTCAAATTTAGCAAGTCTCTTCCTATTTCAGGGTCTTTGCACATGCCATTCCCTCTGCCTGTATCTTGATTTCTCACACTGTTCCCTCAAATGCAGCTTCTCACCCAGACCCTGTGATGAGCTACTTCTCACATTGCCAGTCTCAGTTTCAGACTCACCTCTTCTCAGAGGTCAATTTAGGTCAGGTTCGCCTGAGTCGACCCCTAGATGGGGATTTGTGGGTGAGTGACTTAAGGAGCACAAAGTAGGTAGGAGATAGTGGGAAGGAGCAGGGGAAGCAGGCCAGGCAGGTGGAAGAGTCAAGCAGGTGTAGAATCTCAGCTGAAGTCCCAGACTCAAACTGATCCCATGGGGAACTCAAAGAGGAGATTATATCTCAGATTGTCTCAGGACCCCAGGGAAGGTGTATTAGTTTGTTTTCTGTTGCTATAATGAAATACTCCAGGCTGGGAAATGTACAAAGAAAATAGGCTTATGGGATTCACAGTCTTGAAGCCCCACAGGTTTGACCTCTGATGAGGACCTTATTAGAGACAGCTATGCTAAGTAGAAATATAGGCAGTCAGACAGGGCTAAGCCCTCAAAGGAGTCAGTACAGAAGAGGAGAACACAAGACAGAGATGAAATAACTACACCTACTTCCCCAGGGATAAACAATAATGATTGCTATTCTAAATAAATCAGTCTGGGTGGGGGACCAGGGTCTTGACCCACCCCTTCCAGGAAAGGTCCTTGTTCTTTCCACGCATACTTTCTAGGCGACTTGCTTCCCCATTGGATCAATATTACCTAAGCAACTGTACTTGTAATCTTATTGGTTGATCATAGTTTTGTCCCACCTTACATCCACTTCATGATTTTGTACCCACTCATGATTTTGCTCTGTAAAACTTCCTTTGAGAAGAGGGCTTGTGGGCAACCCACTTTCTGGGCCCCCTTCTGTGTCTCTTAGAAGCTATCTTTCCCTCAATAAATATTCCTACTCTTAAATTCCTTAGAATTCATTGTTCCTTAGAATTCATTGTTCCTTAGAATTCATTGTTCCTTAGAATTCATTCTTCCATTTTAGAGAACACGAACTTGGCACACTGGGTATCTATCTAGCAGGTTGAGAGTTCTAACATTTCCTTTATATCATATTTGGAGGTCCTTATATCATCCCTATATCAGCCTCATGGCAGATGGCATCGCAGTGACGGAGCAAGTGCAGGACAGATCACATGGCAAGAAGGAGGCCAGAGAAATTTAGGGCCAGCTTTGCTATCTTGTAACAGCCACTCTTGTGGGAAGTACTCAGGGTCCCCAGAAAACTACACTAGTCTCTCTGGGGGTGGCACCCCAGGGACCTAACTATCTTCCCACAGCCCCCACCTCTGCACGCCACCATGTGAACATGAGCACACTGGGAACCAAACCTCTGGCACATGAACTCTGAGGCTACACTCCCGCCATGAGCAACCATAGCCCAGTCACTACCTGGGCTTTCTTCCTCCTGCACAGCCAGTGGGTGGACCTGAGTCTCCCCGGGGAGGAGAGCATAAGCCCTCAGGACTTCCAGGTCCTGTGGCCCAAGAGAAATTCTCTGGAAAACAGAGGTGAGGTCTAAGAAGACAAGGGCATCCGGCATGGATGGACACACATAGCCTGGGGTTGATGGGCCCAGGGACCTGGGCAGTACACAGTGCACATAGAAGCCACCCACACCTGCCTCAAGTCTTCTTCCTTATTCTCACCTCCCGCCTCACTTCCTTCAAATAACTCTGTGTTCTGTGTACTTGCTGCTTTTCCCATTTGTGGTCTGTCCTCCTGC